GGGGGGGGGGGGGGGGGGGGGGGGGGGGGGGGGGGGGGGGGGGGGGGGGGGGGGGGGGGGGGTACGGTAGCAACGAGACGAATGCGTTTGGGGCGCTGGTACGGACCTTCTGCTGCCGCTCAAGTTTTCGTTCGGCATCACACTCCCAGCAACTGTTTCGGCGTGTGTCGAAGGGGGGGATGTACAGGCTCGGCTCGTGTGTAGGATACTTAATTGCTGGTCCGACAGGCCAAATGTCGACGTTTTCCATATTTGGACAAGGTACGCCGTCCGTGTGCATATGTAATCGCCTGCTTTAGGTATGCATACCTCCCCGTACCTCTTCTCCTTCTGTATGCCCCGTTGACCCCTACAATCCCTTTCCCTCGCCGGCCGGCCGGTCTGCCCGCCCTCCCAAGATGCTGGAGTGGCACAACTGGGAGGTCCAGCGCGCCGTGAGTGCCTTCATGCTGGGCGAGATCACCCCTCCCCGCAGCTTCCTCATGGGCAACAACAGCAGCGGCAACAATAACGCCTCCGCGGATTCCTCGGGGTTTGGGGGGTTGGGCGGGGGGGCGTCATCGGGGGCAGGAATGGAGGGCATGGTGGACGGGGATGTGGATGGGAGCGGGGCGGGGAGGGGGGTTGGGGGCGGCGCGGCTGGGGCTGCCCCGGGCGTTTTGTCCGTGGTCGTAGGGCTACCGTTCCGGTTGCTGGGGAAGGTGAGTGGGTAGGTGTGCTTGTAGCGGTGCGGGAAAGATGTATCCATGCATGCATGGCACGGAGAGTGTCGGAAGGCTGGGTGCAGCTCTCGTATTGCTTGTGTCGGTGGTCGCGATGCGCTTGCCGCCAGCAAAGGGGGGTTGCAACGGGGGCAACGGGGTTGGTTGCTGCCGTCGTCCACGAGCCCCCCTCCCCAACCACCTTACAGGCCATCCGTTTTACTTAGAAATAGCTGCTGTTGGGGATAGCCTCATCCATGCAACGTCTCCCCAAAGGCCTCTCCTGTTCGCAGTCAATGTTGCCGGGAGCAAGTGTGTGCACTAGAACACATGGCAAAACCGAAATCGGTTCTAGAAAACAACGTTCCAGTCCCCGTGTGTTTCAGCCCCCGTGTGTGTGGTCGATGTCGCGTCCCGTACGCTGATGTCCGCGACGATGCGCGCTCCCAGGTGATATCGTACGTCCTGTCCCCGATAAATTACGTGTTGGGAGTGGAGGACCAGCCTAAGGATGGCGGCGCGGCGGCGCGGCGGTTTGTGAATCAGTTCGAGGCAAAGGTGCGGCACGCGAAGCTTTTTTTGCTGCCGCTAATTATTTTTCTAAGCAATCCTCTGGCGTCTCGTTTTGTACTGCCCCCTGTCAGTTGTTGTTGCATGCCACGCTCGCTCCTGTTTGATTTTTTTTTTTTTTAGAATGCGTGGTTCCTTGCAGGTGCAGACGATTGGAAAAGAGGGTTGTGATGCCGGCCTCTCGCTGGCTTGTTAGCACGGGAGGCGGGATTGATGTGCGTTTCCTTCCTGGAACGAAAAAGACGAATGTGGTGGGGTGAATTTGCGAACAAGAACCGAATGGTGGGGTTCTCCCATGATGACCCCCTATGCCTCTCTCTCTCTCCGTTTTCCTTTGCTTTCGTGGAACGGGAAGCACTTATATGCATTATTAACACGAGCCCATCCTTTCTTTTTCGCCAACTACGCAAATGCATTCTCCGGCGTAGCTTTCCCGTACAAGCACTATCGTAGTGGACGCCACCAAGAAAACAGTTGTCCCAGGCAGTTACATGGCACACATGAAGACGCACACGAGCAACCGAAACACTTACCCCCCACCAACAATGTGAAACGGCAGTACGGGCAGGAGCGGAGACCGATGTTCTTGGCGGAATCGTACCGCGAGGCTGTGCAGGAAGCCGCGCGGCAGCACAAGTTCCTCATGGTCTACTTGCACTCGCCGCTACACCAGGACACCCCCAACTTCTGCAGGTGATGAAACGAGCGGTGGTGCCGTTGGTTGTTTGTTGTTATTGTTATTATTATCTTCAAATCAATACCGTTTTCGATCTCTCTATCCAGCTCCTCCCTCTGTCCGTACTGATCGAACATGCGTAGGATGATAACATGCCCAGGAAAGTTCGGACAGACGTCTACTATGACGACGTTGATTGAGAAAGTGGCATTTTGGTCGACCCTTGCGAGAACCGATGAGCCGATATATTAGAGACGAGGGGAGGGGCGCCGCGAAGGGGGCGACGTCATTCCCCCCCCCGGTGTTTGCCATCGGGAATGGGTTTTCGTCGCTTGGCAATGACGTTGTAAAACAAGCCGCCCCCCCCCGGTGTTTTTTTGGGCGGTAACCATAATGGTGGTCGAGTAGATCATGTTTTGCGGGGTCGAGAAGCCTCACTCCGCGCAAGGGAGATGATCGCACCACGTTGTGTTAAAATGGCCACGCATCCTCGAGGCAGTTACACAGTTACACAGTCGCCCCGGTGGTCCAGTGGGTAGCCTCGTAGCCTGCTAAGGGCCAAGTCATGGGTTCGAGTCCCGGCAGAGAGAGTTTTTTTCTCACTAAATAAATACTGGTCTAGGATGAAAGCGACGCGCTGCAAAGCTCGTTCGTTAGTATACCATAATCGACTTCGTCAGTCGCGAGGGAAGGGATTGCTGTACCCTTCTGGCGATAAAAATACCTCAGGCATGAACCGCAGGAGGGGGTCCAACCCCCCCCTCTTATGTGACCCTGGTTGGGTCGTCTGGCTGGTAGAAGTGGAGGATAGGGGCCAGAGGGGCAGACGACAGAGTCCAATGATGGGAGAAAAACAAAAACAAAAACAAACAAACAAAACAGTGCTTACAACTGTCTCTGGAAGTGAAAGCACCAGAAATTAAATTAGGTCATACGTAGCTGTCATCCGTACGCAAGGAGGTAAGCACAAGATGCCGAACACCCTTAGCAGGATGCAGCGCACCCTTCATGCGACTCGCCGAATATCTCACGGCGCTCCGCGCTTGGTGATGTGAGAGCCTGGTCCGGTGAGAACCCGGCGTGCTACCTCCGTCCCTGCTTTGTAGGGATGCGAGGTCAATGGTCTGACGACTACGGCATGCACGACTATGAGTACTATGAGTACTATGAGTACACCCCCCCCCCAATAGTAGAAAGTAAGCGAGCAGGGGGCTTCGCATGAGCTACGTATGTGGCGTGGGAGTTGTCATCATCGCCGGCGTGGTGTCTCTTCTTGTGCAGTTGCTGTCGTTTGGCACCGTTAGTAGTAGCGTACCCTGTCTATCTACCCCGAGAAAGGTCACAACTCTGCCAAGTCACGCGCTGAGACTGAAGAAAGCAAGCAAGCAAATGAGAAGCTTTACTCCTTACTTCAGTGAGCACGGCACGATTTTCGCCTGTTTTGGCGGGGATGACGGTTTGAAAAATGTCAAAGAGAGCGACAGAGGGAATATCTCATGATGTTCACTTTGTTTTTTGTATTTTTGCGTTGACCAACGAGGTGCGCGGACTCGTGATTGCTGTTCTCATCAGCTCGCTGTGAAGTTCTCACGCTCTTCTTGCTTCTAATTTGTCTATTTTTAGTCCTAGAATGACATGATATTTTTTTTTTTTCAAGTTTGCCAGACCCCGTCCCTCCCTCCATCCCTCTCTCACCCCCGCGCCCCTCCCGACCTCCCCCCGTCCGGTGGGCGGTGGCCGAAAGGTCCACGCTGTGCTCGGAACCCATGGTGGACTTCATGGAGCACAACGTGCTCGTGTGGGGCGGGTCGTTGATGCACGGAGAGGCCTACGCCGTCGGGAACGCCCTCGATGCCTGCGCGTTCCCCTACGTGGGGCTGCTCCTGTGCAAGCAGAACCAAGTGCAGGTGAGAAAGCAGTGCACGCACTGTTGCTATTTTTTGCGTCATATCATGCATCCCTTAGAGGTTCATGATGCGGTTGATGATGTGACGACAACAAGGACACGTGGTGTTTTCTTTTGTACTGTACCATCTGTGGCAGGAACCAAGCACAGGTGATTATGTGGGCTAAATAGTACTGTTTTTCTATTTTTGCTATCCCGCGCGCTTCCCTGGAGGGCGTTTTTTCTTTTTCTTTTCCACGTTGTTGTGCCCGCGGCACGGGTGAGTTCGGTACCCAGAACGAAAGTCTCGAAAGATGCTGTGAAGCTGCTTTTGTGGAGAATGTATCTACGAGAAGAACGAAAGAGACGTCTCGGACGCGTCCCACGTCCCACGAGGACCTCGTGCAACGTAATATACGCGGTGTTGTCATGTTTTTGCAATTGCGATAGCCACCCCGGCATTTATGTGGTGGGCTGCTTTCTTACAACGAGTCGTACATCGCCACGAAATTGTCTAGTCGTTGACCCAATCCTACATGCCTTGGATTAGCCATCTTCTTCCACAGTCCTATTCACCCAAGGGATTACTTCGCCCTTGGAGCTACACACATCCCTGGGCGGTTCTCGCCGAAAGAAAGCGTTCGCGGGCATCTTGCACTCTGTCGTGTAGCAAGACCACCAGGGGGCAACGTGTCTCCCAGGAGCCTGCGCCGTCGCATACAGTAAATCGATCCCATGTATGCATGGTTGTTTGACGATGGGCATGCAGGTTGTGGAACGGGTGGAGGGTGCGGAGAATACGGAGGCGTTGCTAGACAGGCTGACCTCGGCCATGGCGCGCTTCCAGGAGCAGCTGGACCGAATCCACAGGCAGCAGAGAGAGAGGGAGGAGGCGCGAAGGCTCAGGGAGGAGCAGGTGCGGGGCGCCAGTTGCACGGCACAGCCCTTGAAGTTGTTGCTGCTGCTGCTGCTGCTGCTGTTGTTGTTTCTGTGGCTTGTGCAAGATCTTTGTTTTACCTCCCGTGAGACTAGGCAGGCTCTTACGAGGACTAGCAGTGTTGGTTTAGTGGTGCGGTCGTGTTGATAGCTTGGTGGGGAAAGGCCAGCACGTGGTCCACGCAGAGGTGCACGGACAGTGTTGCGTGTGTGTGCTTTTCTCCCCCCCATCTATTCCTGGTGCCAGTCTAAGGGATATGTTTGGCAATGCCTTGATTTGGCGCTGCTGTACCTCGAGTTCTTCTTATCGCCACGGTCATGATGATTTTCTGCCGCACTGGGTGCCTAAGCATCACCATCCATTTGTGTGTACCCAGGGCGGCTAAGAACTTCCGACACGTTGTTTGTTCGCTGGTTTCACCTGCCGCTGTGTTGCTGCTGCCGCTGTGGTCGCTGCTACATGCTGCTGGTCAGGACAACGACTACAAGAAGGGGTTGGAGGCAGACCGCAGACGGAGCGAGGCGCAGCAAGAGGAGCGGCGTGCCAAGGTACAAATAGAGCCAGCTGACGAGTCCAGCCCCCGGCCCCCGGTGTAATATTGGTGTGCTTGATTTGATTGGTTGAGGCCTAGTTTATTTTTCTTCCATTTTTTTGTCGCTTTCTCTCTCTCTGCCAAGCAATGTTCGATGTCCTGTCTTTTGTGTTCTTTCTGGGAAATACCACCCCTTAATTCGTCACTCCGGATTGTTTTCTCTCGTGCGTGCCTATCTCCCGATCCCTCACCACGGCCTTTTCTTCTCTTATTGCTCGTTTTCTCTCTCTCTGTGGATGCATTTGCCCATCTTTACGCACACAACGCCATCGCAGGAGCGGGCAGCCGAGGAAGCACGCGCTCTTGCTGAGGAGGAGGCCGCGAAGCTTGCGAGGGAAGAGCAGGTACAACCGCGACAGTCGCAAAGGCAAACCTTAACCCTTTGGTGACGTCGTGTGCGTCACCATTGCTGGTGGCATTTAGACACACCATCAACACCTTTGGTTGTCCTAGGAAGCGGAGGCGTGGGGGCGGACGGGACGTTCAGAATGTTGAAGGAGGCGTCGGACTGGAGGGGGTTGCTTGCGCCACTGCTGTCATTTTACTACAACAGCCCAAGCGCTTGAAACCGAATCCGCATGGCTAGCGCGCTCAACCTCGGCGCTGCATGCTTCTGGAGTGTTTTAGTTGAACACGCTGGGATTGCAGATTCAACCATTTGTGTTGCACCACCCACTGCTTGACCGCTGCTACCGCTTGGCTACCCCCCACCTGGACGTTGTGGTCATATCGTTTTGCTTGCTGCTCTCGTCGCTGGTGTTTGTGCAGCTCCGCATCGAGCGCCTGGAGGACCTCCGCAAGCGCGTGAGAGACGAGCCCCCAGCTGGGGGGAAGACGACTAGGATCAGGCTGCAACTCCCCAACGGGTCCAAGGTAGAGATAGCCGACAGCAGTCAGCACCTTGAGTGAATGGTATCGGCTTGTTGTCGCTCATTACAGTAGGGAAACGTAACGGTTTTTGTACGTGTTGCAGCAGGTTGTTTCGAAGGACGAGCAGGAGTGAGTCGGCTTTACGTGGCTGCCACCGACACACTTTGATGTTGTCGTTGTCGTTGGTGGACGAATGTCGGACAGCTTGCAAAGATGGCCCGTGTTGTTCGTACACCTGCATTTTCGGGTGTGTTAACTTGTCAAGTTGATTGTTACTTCGAGAAGCATCGCCTCTGCATATATCCCGCAGGGGAGTGTGTCGGTATATTGACCAGAATTATCCTGAGTTGGGCCATACGTTGACGCCGGAACTTGGTCGGCCACTCTCCTCACCCACCCACCCCCTGTGTGGACTCTCTTTATGGGGTGTGCTCAACCTCCCAACACCCCCAAACCAAACCAAACCAAACCAAACCCACTCTCCTTCCCTCATCCCCCCTCAATCCCTTCTGCCTGCCCCTCTCCCTGTGTGGACTCTCCTGGTGGGGTGTGCTCACCCTCCTCCGAAAACACCCAAACCAAACTAAACCGAACCCGCTCCCAACCCCCCGAAACCAAACCGATCCAAACCCAAAAGGTGGACCGTAGGTTCGATGCGGACGGCACCGTGGGAGAGATCCGAGGGTTCGTCACCCTCCACCTCGAGGACAACGACATCCCCATCAAGAACTTCAGCATGAGCACCAACTTCCCCCGAAGGACGTACAGCCAGGAGGATGGCGACGACGCCCTCTCCGTCGAGGAGGCGGGGCTGCACCCCACCGGCATGCTCTTCGTCCACGACCTAGACGCCTAGGGTAGGACTTGGTTGGTTAGCTCGATCCATTCTCCCTCTTGGCCGTCAGTAAATCATCCATCGTGTGGCGTGCGTCCATGTTGTCTCGTTTTCTTCACGAAGGAAAAGTGGTTGTCTACCGCGGGCGTGTACGGAGGTGGTGGCTTATCTCTCTGCTTCAACATAGGAGGTGGGACTGGAGAAAATGCATCCCATGCAGCTACAAGGGCAGGTAGTTGCGGTGTTGGACTTGAAAAAAATGTAGAGTTCTCCGGGAGTTGTCCTGCTCGATTTTTCAATTTCCCGGGAGTTGCAATGCAGTACACAGGCGTGTCTTTGTAGGAGTTCAGCACCGGCCTTGTTTCCGTTTTTGATGAGAGCGTCAGTTTAGATTTGAAGTTCCACCGTCACAAAAACCGTCTAGCTCAAGGAACCTTCACATGCAGGTGTCAGAGAGGCACTAAGACTGCTGTAGGCTGACGGAATCCTCCATTGATTCATAATCTCGCTCTCGATTTGTGTAGAGCGGTTGCTCTTGTGAAACGTGGTGAACCTTGGCTGCACTACTGTAAAATAGATATTTACGATACGGTACGGAACCTCTTTTGCTCGACTTTTTTTTTGGTGGTGGTCGATCGATGCCCAGCTGGCATCTCGCGGGCTCTCTCCCTTTGATTGTGCATGCCACACGGCGCAACGTACGCGCGAGAACATGGGGGGCTTGGCAACCGCTCCTGAATATTTGAGTGGAACCCTGTGTACTTAAAATAGACCGCGTTATGGGATTTTGGAGGTTAACGCCCAGCAGATTTATCTTCGGTTGGCGCTGATGGATGGTAGCATGCCACTGAGAGGGGTGGCGTTAGGAATTATCTTCCGGCGCTTCAACTGCGGAGGACCACCGCTTCCGATATTTCGGAGACTCCGCGCAAATGGAACGCGCTTCAACTGCCACTTGGATTGGGGGCACTTGACCCCACGAAGCATCCCCAATGCTTAACAGAGTCTTGCTGGACACAAGTCATGACAACGCCATCGCCAACATCTTTTCCCAGCGCGCGGGCTATCTACCAGACATCCACCCCGATCGATTTTGAAACGTCCGAGATAAGTCTACGACGAAAAAAAACGCCTCCGTTCAGCACCGCTTCGCTTGTGTAAAAAGTAAAAGCGTGCAGTAGCGCCACGACCAGATGGCGTTTTTCAGCGGGCACTTAAAAGGACTTCCACAGGGGACACTACGCCGACGATCGTTGCTCCAAGTGCAACACCTTACCGCGCACGCAACTGGGTGTGAGACTTAAGAGCCCGCCGCACCAAACAAGCTCAAAAGCGCGGATTCGTCTGTCGCGTGTGGTGCGTTTGTGGGCCTTGCGTTGCGTTCGATTGTACCAAACAGCGTACGGTAGAAGACAAAAGCGGACTCCTCGTGTATCTATCCAGTCAGGGTTGCGCGTTTGGGCCTTTTCATTTGACCTCATACAGGAACAAAAGCTGAACTCATGCAGGGACAAAAAGATACAAAACATGAACGGCAACCAACAGCTCACGGAAAAAGGAACCAATTCACGTCCGCCCGCAAGACGAGAGAGCATCGCTAGCAGTGATCGGCCCTTCGCCCGTCAGGCCCACGCAACGCACGCCAACATATCGCAGCAGCACCAAACCAGCACCAAACCAGCACCCAAGCACCATTTCTGCAGGCACAGCAAGCGGCGTCTCAAACGCCGCAAAAACGTAGCGCACGGTCTGACAACCTCGGGGGCCCCTCTTCCAAAACACCCCCCCCCCCAAGCAACTGCCAGCCTGCCTGCCGCAAGACAGCGGAAGGCTCATCAGAGCTACCGATACTCTCCTTCGGAGCGGGAGTCCGCCAATCGCTCCCCCAAGCTCCGCCCCGCTGAGTGCCTCAAGCCAGCTTCGGCCTCGGGGGTGGCGTACAAGTCCCCCTTGCCGCCGCCGCCGCCGTCACCGGCTGCAGCATGGCGCCCGTTGCTGCTGCTGCTGCTCGGGATCAACCCGCCGTACTCCGCCAGCTCCACGCCGCCCAAATCACTGGCATCGCCACCGTCCCCGCCGCCGCTTGCCAGGGCGCGCGTCTGGCCGCCCCCGTCGCGGCCTCGGCCGCGCTTGCCGGTGCAGTAGCCGAATATTCTGGCAGCGGCGTCGCCCTCCGGGAAGCGCGCCGGCAGCGGCAACACCCAGTGACACCGGCACTTTTGTCCGTCCATTCCGCCGAACACCTCGTTCGCGCCGCCGTCCACCGAGTCGTGGACTTCGCCCTTGAGCCTGCGGCGGG